AACTAGATACTGTTCCGAAATATCACTTACTCGAACCGTCTTGACCGCGTAGCTCTGTTGGAAGAGCATTGGGCTAGTATTCCAAAGGTCGTAGGTTCGAATCCCACCGTGGCCGGGCATATTTTTCAAGCTCGCCCGGTGTGGATATGCACTCAGAGTAACATCACAAACATAATACCAATGTATTCCTTCTTTTCCACCAAAAACCATTCGCAATATCTTATTAATAACAAATGAAATTATAATTTTCAAATATTCAATTAGTTTTGCCGTTTTGTTTTAAAATGCATACATGCGTTTGTTTTTACGTAATGGACCGCCGGTCCATTATGGGGAAATAATGAACAGCCGAAAGTGCTTTTCAGTCGATCACAGTCTGCCATTTCACCGGAAGTGATGCTTACCATATAATAAACATATATACTTGACTTTTGATATCCCATAATCCCAACATAAAAATGGTAATTGGTGGGATAATCACACTTAGTTATTGTCAAATTAGTAGCAGTAGATTTCAATTCATAAACTCAGTCAATCACCGTCTAGTCTTTATTTTGCACAACTGGGGCGTCAATTACAGTGAATCATATTGCACCACTGTTTCTTTCAATGTTGAAAAGAGAACTACCATGATAAAAAAACTATAGCTACATAATTTCATGTATGCATGCATAAGTGTCATGCACATTAAACGAATGGAAATATCTTAAACCTGAATTATAGAAAATATCTGCAATTCTGTTAGTATTACCTCATTAAATTGCACTAACCGCTGACCATCCAACCGCCATGGAAACCTCAGTGACTGGGGCACAAGAGAAAGACATTTGTACAGCTACAATGAAAAAAATAAAGTTTAGGATATGTCATCATGTTTAACTTGCTAATTTGAGCTTTGCACTAAATTAGTATCTATCCTTTATTGTATAGTAAACTGCATGAATAACTAGTTTATATTGTAACCAAAATCTCAAAATAGGCTGCTTTTTCTATTTTATTTTATTTTATTTTACAGATTTTGCCATTTAACACAAAGTATTACAAAAAAATAGTTACACAATAGATTACATGGCTGGAATTACCACACAGAGATTAGTTCTCCAATAACGGGGTTCCAAGACATTCGAAATACACAGCATGAACAATAACAGGCTTGCAGACAGAAAAACAGACAGACAGACAGACAGACAGACAGACAGACAGACAGACAGACAGACAGACAGACAGACAGACAGACAGACAGACAGACAGACAGACAGACAGACAGACAGACGTGATGATCAACAAACAAGCACAACAAATTACAATCAACCAGCCTAGACCTAGGCCTTCTAGTCTTATTTATATTTTTTAATATTCAGCGCTTTTTCACATGAAAAGACTGGGACTAGGTGATTTGGGGGCGGGGCGAAGGAAGCAAGTCAGGCTTGTGTCCTTCCTCCGCCCCGCCCCCAAATTACCTAGTCCCAGTCTTTTCATGTGAAAAAGCGCTGAATATTAAAAA